CAGCTGACAGCACTGGGCGCTGTGTCAGGCCACAAGGGCTTGGCCCCTTGGACCAGTGTGATGGGCGAGGGCACATCTGGAGGCCTGAGCACATTTTTCACACTCCATTAACACAAAGACACCGAAAACCTGGAGGGAGTTCTGAAGGCCATAACAAGGACTATTAAGAGACTTGAAGGAGGTGCTTTATAAAGAGAGGATTAAGGCAAAGGTCAACACCCTTGGAGATGGGTAGAAACAGTACAAAATGACCCAAAAAGTAAAACAAAGAAGAAAGGGTAGGAATAACAGGGTATGGCTGCCCTAAGAGAAAAACCACTAAAAGTAGCAAGAAAAATTTTAAAAACTTAATTCAGCAACAAAATGGAAAAAAATAATAAATATAACTGGGCACTGGTGGCTCACACCTGTAGTCCTAGCAACTCAGGAAGCAGAGATTTGAGGACAGTTAGTCTAAAAGTCCATAAAACTATTATCTCCAGTTAGCCAGCAAAAAGCCAGAAGTGGAGCTGTGGCCCAAGCAACAGAGTGCCAACCTTGAGTGAAAAAGCTAAGGCCCTGAGTACCCAGGGCCCCCCAGGCTCTGAGTTCAGGTGTGCGCGTGCGTGTGTGCGCGTGCATGCACACACCCACACACATGCGCACACACCCACACACATGCGCACACACACACACACACACACGCACACACACACACAGAAACAAAGAAACCAAACGGAGGAACAGTTTGTTTTCACAAAATATGTCCTATTGTGAACACATAATTCAGAAGTTGACAGAAAAATTTCCTTGCACTGTAGAAGAGTAAACTATTTATAATGAGAAGACAGGATAAAAAGGATAATGGTGATCGTTTGCTGACAACAATAATAATATTACTAATAAATAGCGGATAATAATAATAGCCCTGGGATGTGCCCTGTTTGAAGTGTCCCACCTATGGATCCTAACATGTGGTCCCCATCCAACCCCTCCACTGTTATTGTTCTCATCATTTGTGGCTTTACAAAGGAGACTGGAGTGGAAAAAGTAGAAGAATTGGCCTGCAAGTAGTTAGTTAGCAAATAGCAGAGCCAGGATTTGAACCCAGGGCAGGTTGGCTATGTTTACATCCTAAAGCACTGGACTTTTTTTTTTTTTTTTTTTTTTTTTTTACTGCTTTGAAGACAGAAGGACCTAAATATAGGATAAACTTTTGGGGGTGAGGAGGTGACCAAAGAGGAGAGCTGGATTCAAGGTTACCATATATACAGCTGTTGTAAACAGGACTTTTGGGTGGGATGGGGCCTGGGTCTGCTGCTTATACATTCCAAGTCAGAAAAGAAAAATGATCCATTCTTCACTCTTGTGAAAAGGCCAACTAGTTTCTGTAAGGACAAGAATTCCTCTCGCACATAGTCAGGCCAGAGAGAAATACAATTATCAGAGGCTAGGTCCTCCAACTCTTTTTCTTGCAGGGAACCCAGCAGCTTGGCTAGACAGAAGTCCGTATGCAGCAGTCATGTGGCTGGTTGACCTCTTGACTGGCTCATGCATTCATGGGTTCAACAAGAAAACATCTGTATTTGATGTTGGTATAATTTGTGGAGGGAAGGGAAAAAACAAATTGTTTAAATACGGATACAGGTGGACCCATTGTAATAATGAGATGCACAAGACGTTATGTAGAAAAATGAACTTTACAACTTTGGCATGGGGTGGGGGGTTGGGGGGGTGGGGGGCAAGGAGATGGGAAGGGATGGGAAGGGGAAACAAAGGAGGAGACAACAATGCTTGGTAAGAAATGTACTCATTACCTTGCTCATGTAATTGTAACCCCTCTGTACAGTATTTTCACAATTGAAAAGAAAAAAGAAAAAAGCTATCCTGTCAATAAAATAATTCAAATGGAGGTGTTCCATGCTTCTCAGACTGAAGCCCAGATTGTTTCCTAGGCAAATAAAACTAAAGAAACTGAAGTTCTATGAAAATATTTTAAAAACTAAATCTGCTTTAAAAACGTCATTCAAGTGAGAACACAGAAAGTTATATGTCTACAATTACAAGATTCTTGAAAGACATTGGGTCTGTGAGCCTTGGTGCAAGGAACAGACATGGTAGAGTCTTATGCTTCCTTGTACCGAGCACAGGGATGGAGTGTGGTTTACAGAAAGCATGCAAAGGCAATGTTTATCCTCAAAAAGCTCCATGCCTGTAATCTTAGCTGCTTAGGAGGCTGAGATCTGAGGATCATGGTTCGAAGCCAGCCAGGACAGGTCTAATGGACTCTCAGAAAAAGCTGAAAGCAGTGCTGTGGTTGAAGTGGTAGAGTACCAGCCTTGAGCAAAGAAAGCTCAGGGATAGTGCCCAGGTCCTGAGTTCAAGTCTCATGACCAGCACACACACACATACACACACACACACAAGTTCCCACTGTAAGAGATTGAGCTTTTACATGAACCTGACCTTGTTACAAGAAAGAATAGGAAAATGGCATTAGAGATACAAGACCCAGGGCTGAGGAAGCAAGGCAAACTCCTTCAGTTATGAGAGGCATGACCTCTGTGCTAGCATCCAGGGCAAATGGGGAGAGCAGTAGCAGCAAGGAAGGAGAGGTAGAGACCAGGAACCCACCAGCTGAAGAGCAGGAGGACGAGAAGAGACATAGGAGGTGGACTAGAAAAAGGAGTTTCTCAAATCCTTGGGTGAGCAATAGAATCAATCTTGATTTTTCAGGAAAGAAGGGGCACCTTAGATTATGATGAACATGCCTGTAGCTTGTTTGACTTTGCAGTCTGCATTAGTCTGCTTCTGCATTAGAAGCTTCTGAGCTGGTGGTATTCAAGTCATCAGAAGAAGATGGAAAGAGGTGGAGCCTACAGGAGGTATCAACTACTCAGCCAGAGGAACATGGGAGTGGGTGAAGCAGAGGAAGTCATGGGCTGAAGAAATTGGAGGGGGTGGCTACTGTCACTCAGGGAATTAAAGAACATCTGATGAGTGAAGGGAAAATGGTTAAGTCCATTATGGATGACAGCTATAATGATGGAATATTCAAATGGAGATGTTCTACAGGTAGTTGTATATCAAAGATGAAAACAAGCTAAAAGCTATGTAGGAGGGATACAGATAAGATGTTCATTGAGTGATTTTAAGATTCAGAAACATACCCATACCAATAAAGTGACCTGATTCTAGATCTAGTTTTCCTTATTTCTTTATTCATTTATGTATTTATTTTCATCTCAAGCCAGTCTTCTTTGAACTACCTTTTTGCCAGGTGTCTAAATGGTATCACCTATGAAACTTGCCTACTTACAGCTAAGTGTGAAAAGTCATACTTATAATCTCAGCACTGAGGAAGCTGGCAACAAAAAGTGATTTTGAGGCCAGCTTGGACTATATAGAAAGACTTTGTTTCAAAACTGGAAACTGGAGGTGGTGGCTAAAGTCTCTAATTCTATTAGGCAGAGATCTGGGATCATAGTTCTAGGCCAGCCCATGCATAAAAGTTGGAAAGACTCCATCTCAACTAATGGCTGGGCACAGTGATTCACACCTGTTATCATATGTACAGGGGAAAGACAGTGTCTGGGTGCAGTGGCATATGACTGTCATCCTCCATAACAGGAGGTAGCATAAGTAAGAAGATCCAAGCTCAGACCTGGCAGGGTCTCAAAACAACCAAAGCATTAAGGATCTGGGTGTGGCTCGGCTAATAGAGCTCCTGCCTAGCAAGTGTGTGGCCATGAGTTCAATTCTCAGTATTGCCAAACTTAAAGCAATAATATCAACACCAATAATAAATTAATCATAATAAATAACACCTGCTTTATGAACCTGAGAAATGGCTTCAACAGAGAAAACATCTGACTCACTAAAGAACATGGCCTCTCCCATGCTTTATAAAAACTAGGATGTGTGTATGTGTAGCTGTATATATAGGTGTATATGTATGTATACCCATGTCTCTCTCTATATATATATCTGTAAGCTAAAGTTTTCTTGCTAAATTGGTTGATCCAGTATTTGTGTTTACCCAGAATGGTGTTTCTTGATGCCTTTTTCCTAGTGTCATTGTAAGAATTATAAGTAGCACCCTCTTCTTCTCTCAAATTGTTAGGATTAACACTACACATTTGCTGCCACCCTTCTGGTATTTTTAAGGGTTTGGCTTCTGTAGTATCTCAATCTGTTCCTAACATTTTAATCTCACTTTTTTTTTCTTTTCCCTCTTTCTTATGGTCATCTTACACCAGAACAAAGGCACCATTATCCCTCTCAGAAAAGCTTAACCAGACGTGTTACATATGCCCTTCTTGGGTATGATAGGCCAAATCTACCCAGGTGAGGTCTTTCCAGGGCCCCTTTCAGTGACCATCGGTGCTTTCATGGCCCAGAGGCCACTACTGCATCACCATTCTATGAGCAATTAACAATTTTGAGTCACTTTATCTTACCACAATTTGCATGGGCATAAACAGATTTTATCATGGTTCTATACTTTGAAAACTTTGTTCTCTCTGTATCTGAGAACCATGATGGATGTTACAGTAATATCTCTGTAATTCCCAACACTCAACTTGTCAGAGAACTTAATTTTGTCACAAAGACTGAACCTTCAGTTCTCCAGGAATTGGCCAATGGTAACTCACCCTAGCTCTTTCCCTGATTGTTACATCAACTTAACAAAAGACTATATTCTGGTTTTCTTCCAGAAGTACCAGAAGAAATAGATTCCCTAAGGTGCTATAATGATTATGGCTATTTTATTGAACCATAATCCATATTACTCAGTGCTACTTACATTGAGTCAAAAGGAAAATGTGTGTGTGTGTGTGTGTGTGTGTGTGTGTGTGTTACTGTGCCAAAGGATCAGAGAGCTGTATTATACCAGCATTATTTTGGCATTGCTGCTACCTAGATTAATTTTCATCTTGCCATTTCTTTTTCAAGTCATCATTACATATTTATGCATCTTGAGATGATCCTTTTTTTTTCCTTCTTCCTCCCCATTGCAGCCTTTTTTGGAAAATACCTCAATGAATATAATGGCAGCTACATCCCTCCTGGGTGGCGAGAATGGCTTGGATTAATCAAGAATTCTCGTTTCTATAATTACACTGTTTGTCGCAATGGTATCAAAGAAAAGCATGGATTTGATTATGCAAAGGTAATTTTCAAGCACTTTTACACTGCATCAATTTGCTTTGTGCATAATGGGGAAAAGCCATTTTCAGTGAGTTAAACTATCCACAAGATTGGCTTTCTATGTTCTCACAATGTTAGAATGAGAAATTTCAAGGTAATTTTCAACTCCAAGCAAGAAAGACTCTGTTCAAATAGCACTGCCTTTGTAGAGTGGTTTTTTTTTACCCCCCTCATTAGGATGAAAGGCAGTCAGCTTTGATGACAGTATCATCAAGACAATCATACATCATCTGCTCTGTCTTGTAATAATTTCTGTTTTCCTTCTTTCTGGATGGCTTGTCCCCATAATCAAATGTTCATCTTGGACTCTTTCTTTTGCGTTTCAGTGGGTTGAAAGTATATTTTGGCTTCAGATTTAGATGTAAAAGTAAGGGCAGTGCAATGATTAAAGGGTGAGAACCCACATTACCTGCTTTTACTTCCTTCTGACCAATCTTAGCAGACATGTGACAAGGGCACCTGTCCCACAGCAGGCAGGAAGAGCCAGCAGAAGTGCCTCAGTCTCTCAGCCATGGGGTTTCCAAAATCCATTCATGGAAACTGAAATTAACATGTCCCTTGTGTCTCTACCAAGTAGATCGATCCTACATTGACTTAAAAATTCATACCGGTGTTGTGATTGCTAACTTAAATATAACTTTTTTTTTTGTAAAAGTAAGGGGAAGATATCTTTCCGTGTAGCTGTTACTTTGCTTTAGATACTCCCTTTCTGCTTCTATCCATCTCTTCCTCATTTACCTAAGAGAAGCCAAGAATCTGCTGTATCTAGCAACCCCTCCCAAAGGCTAGAACACTTGGTAGAAACAGCAAGAGGGAATTTGATTAAATGTTGTTGGCAGAAATGGAAAGGGGAACTTGATTTAATGTTTTTGGCAGGTTGCTGGGTCTTTATTCTTGGCTCAGTTGAAGTGCAAGGGACTTGGAGGGCGATAAGGTACAAATTGGGATCTTTCAGACCCTTCAGAAAGCAATGAATGCAAATGAATTCACAAACACTTCTAATAGACTTTGAGACTCATCAAAGCGGAGAGCTGACAGGGACCTTGGAGGCAAAATTGGAGTCATGTCCTCATTTTAAAAGATGAAGAAAATCAGGCTGGAGTAGTTCAACCCCTCACAGACCCCTGGTCCCTTCCCTGGGTGTGGATATCATCTTTGCATGTGGACAACGTGTGCCACAAGCCCTAATCGTCAGTGCTATCCTTTTCTGTGTGTGGGGATGCTTTCCATGCTTCTTATTCAAGCTATTAACCTTCCATTCCCTGTTGTACTAAGGAGAGCAAAGTAATCAAGATTCTCTCCAAATACTAAATCAGCGTAACTTGCTCATTATCACAGCCGATTAAGCATCAAAGACAACTGTGTCCAAAAAGAACATGTATCTTTTTTTTTAAATAAGTGAGGGAAGAAACGAAACAGACACCCCATAGAAAGAAGGGGCCAGCCTGTGAGCGTGTCCTAATAGTGACATGTGACATAGATTTTTGCCCCTCTTGTACTGCTTTCGCAGCTGTTCTGGTCCTTAAATCTACAACATGTGATTTAGCTATGCCTGGAAGTTTTTGACATTGTGAACATTGCCTAGGACTTTCTGAGTCAACTTTATACTGAGCTCCAGGCCAGGAATACACACGTAAAGGCAGCAGGTGGTTCAATTTAAGTTTTCATCTTTTCTTTTCTTTTTTTTTTATTTCACTTCCTCCCTCCCCCTTACTGACTTGCATGAACCCTCCCCTGACTGTGGGTTAAGTCATTTTATTAGCAAGTCAGGCACTAATCCCAGCAGCTGTATTCCTTTAGTTGTGCAATTAACACAGTATAATCGGCAGGAAATCAACTGCTCCCTATATTTAAATGTTTCAAGTTTAAATTAATTGATAAAATGTTGCAGCTTTTCCCAGGAGCCTGGACTGGGGGCTATGGCTTTGATTAGAGATTATTGTGTTATCCCCACAGGTGAAGTTTTAATTGAAAGGAAAGATCTGTTCTCATTTTTTTTTGTGCACTTCTATATGCATTAGTGTGTAAATTTCTTTGTGTGTGTGTGTGTGTGTTCCACAACTATGAATTTGATGTGGGTGTGGGTGTTTCCTGCCCTTGAAGTAATTAAATTCATTGCCAACGAATTACATCAAGGAAACCTGAGAATGAAATATGTATCCGGTATTTCATGTGTTCTTGCGCTTGTATTGCCAGTTCTGATCATTATCTTGGGCAAACACGACTTACCTTTTTTTTCTCCTTCCCTAATTGCTAAATTGTGCATTACTTAAAATACCTTTTTTGTTTGCATGTTCCTCAGCCAGCAACCCTAGAACTTAATGGCAACTGATTTTCTCTTTTCTTGAAGATGTTGGTGCTGCCTTGGGAGGTACCATTTTCTTTCCTGCCTCAGACCTTCCCTCAGCGTTCAGTGAGTTGCTCTGAAGAAAGCAGTGCTCAAATGTGATCTGATGACTGTCACTTTTTGTAATTTTTGTTTTGTGTCAAATGTATGTTTCAGGACTACTTCACTGACTTAATCACTAACGAGAGCATTAATTACTTCAAAATGTCTAAGAGAATGTATCCCCATAGGCCCGTAATGATGGTGATCAGCCACGCTGCGCCCCATGGCCCCGAGGACTCAGCTCCACAGTTTTCAAAACTGTACCCCAATGCTTCCCAACACATGTGAGTACCCACATCAACCCTCCACCCTGCCAGTCACAGCCTTTCTCCCCACCCTCTCTGCCCCTTAACCCATTTCCTTTTAATCCACCTATTCTACCAGCAAGGCAAAGATGCCAGCGTTCACCAGGACAGGATGATAGTTTACATGCTTACCGCAGCCACAGACCTGATAAAAAGCCCTGTCTAGGCGATTTGGTTAAGAATCATGTAGCCCACATCTACAGTAACTTTTATGAAGTGACACACATGGAATAAATGGGGGCATTTTTTAGAGAGCTCTCTTTCCATGTGTTAAGGAATGTTCATTGTGTCGTCTTATAATGATGATGCTGATAGGGTGGTATGCTTTCCATAGAAGCAGAGTGGCCATGCAGGGCTGTCTGTCTATAGAAATGTGGGTTTATTTTCTGGGTGAATATTCCAGCTGCCTTGTTGTGCAGAAGACAGTTTGAGTGTTTTGCTCCGGAGCCCTTCTCAGGTCATGACTCTCAAATAACCTATTTCCTTTTGAGAGGCAGAAGTCATGCAAGGTAGTCATGCAAGGGGGGGGGGGGTGCAGGGGAGGGCCTAATGGCTGAGAGGGAAGACAGGGAAAGCAGATGATCCTCACTAGACCTGGGTGGGAAGTCTGGGCACCTTGGCAGCAAAGAACATGGTTTCCTTGTTGACTCTGTCAACGCTGTTTCTCCCAGCCACTGCAATCAATACGTAGTCTTCCATTCAGAGCAGCTAGCACGGGATCTGCCAAAAACTCATCAGTTAGAAAGGCAGGGAGAAGAAATGGATAACTACTTCCTTTATCACAGGCCTCCAAAACTGATAAATAGTGTGCATAAAGAGCACACTGCCTTTCCATCCACACAAACTTTAGAGACAAGGTATCAAATGGAAAGAACTTTTGGAGATAGACCACTGCTGAAGGCACTCTAGTTGCTTGTTATATATGCCAGAAGAATTTCTTTCTATCCTTTATTTTGTGTGTGTGGGGGCGGGGGTGGGGGGGTTGGTTGGTACTGGGGCCTGAACTCAAGTCTGGGTCTTGTTAACTTTTTCACTCAACACTGGTGCTCTACCACTTGAGCTATATCTCCAATTCTGGTTTTTTACTAATTAACTGGACACAAGAGTGTTAAGGATTTTCCTGCCCAGATGAGCTTTGAACCTTAAGGCTTGGATCTGAGTTGCTAGGATTACAGGTGTGAGTCACTGGCACTTGGCCAATTCTTATTGTATGTCTTCTAGTAACTAAGTGATGAATGCAGATCATCTGTATACTAGAAAGAAGTTCAGAGCTGATTCGGAGCAGGATTGAATATGAAGGCAGACAATCACTTATTGCAAGTTGGAAGACCCAAGCCTGGTTTTTGTTATTGTTGTTGTTTGTTTTTATGGTACTGAAGTTTGAATTCATGAACTTGGGCTTACTAAGCAAAAGCTCCGAAAATTTTTTTTTTTTTTTGAAAATCTTCCCTGCATATAATCTGCATCAAAATTCATGAAGGAAGCACTTGGCAAGAGGGTCTCAGTTAAAATTTAGTAACTAGCTGACTTGGTGGAAGAAAAAGGTCTCAGAGATTTTCCTGGATAACCCAGAAACTCACTCACCCTTCTTCCTTTTCTTGTGAATCAGAAATCGCATGTGGAGCCTCCTTGGTTGCATTTTCAAAATCCCAGCCTAAGATGACTTCCTACAACCATAACTTTACAGGTGTTTCCTTGAGTTTGTAGAGAAAGGATTGATAAAATACAGCATTTTATGGTTCCTTAGAAGTGAGCCTGCCTTTGAAGCTTCAAGTCAAGGACCTAAGCCTGTGGGAAAATCAGCCATAGGTCAAGAGGTTCTGACAGCACGGCTGCATGACAATAATTGCACAAGGGAATCTATAGCGATCTCAGTACCTCAACAGTAGCTTTGAAAAAAAAAGAATCTCTGATTCCTACAGTGCAGCATTCCATTTCCTTCCTCAAGTGTGTATGAGTACTGCCTATGTTGCAGAGCTGCTCATGTTACAGGACAGCACAGCCCACAGACAGGCTGAGGAAGACATTATGGCTGATATTCAGAAATCAGAAAGTGAGGACAGGGGTCAACACAGTAGAGTCTACTATCCAAGTCTAGCTTGCTACTAGTTTGTATTAATAAAGATTTATTGAAACATTGCCATACTCATTTGTTTATGTATCATCTATTAATGCTGAGACCTTGAAGGCTAAAATATTTATTATTTGATTCTTTTGACGAGTAAGTTTGTTCAACTCTGTTTAGGAAGGAGACAGGCAAGTATCCAAGGCCAGTACAGAACAGGTCCCTCATGGGGTTATGTAACTTTGTAGTGAAATTACTTGGACCAAAGGGGATTCAAAAGGGGGTTCAAAAGATGAGGAAAAACTGAGTATAGTAGTGCATGCCTGTAATCCTAGCTACAGGCATGAGGCAGAGAGAGGAGAATCTCTAGTTGAAGTCCAGCCAGGCCAACATAGCAAAACTAAAGTAAAAAGGACATAACTAATGTGCTAAAGTGCTTGCCCACCATGTGCATGGGCCTAGATTCAATCAACAAGACTTAAAAGGGGTGGAGAGGTGTTTGTAGATGATGCTCCAGATACTGAGTAGATGGTTTCAGGGAAAGACTATTGCCTAGGCAAGGGTCACTGTATAAGTAGGTCAATCTAAGATGTGACTGAGACCTGCAGAATGGAATGGAATACAAATAAAGCAGTAAAGCTCAAAAAGAAAAGGCTCACAAAACAATGGGAACTTAAGCAAGTTTGCACATTCACCAGAACAGTAACAAAGTATCAGTCCACTTTGTCATTCCCACATGCAAATAGGGTCATCTCTTTTTCTTCCAACTGAACCATCTATGCCCTTACCATTGATTCTAGAGGCGGCAGAATAAAAATATTCAGGCCTGGGCAGGAAACAAGCCTGCTTTCCTGCTTTCCTGCCTCAGTGGCCTTCACTAAACCCCTGAGTAGTTTCTTTCACCTCTCAGAATCTTGAGGGTCTCATCTTTAAAATGGGTAGTAGCTGCACCATGATGTGATGCGGTGAGCAAGAGTTCAGAGAGGCAGCATGGATCTACCCCCCCATTCCACCCCCATCCCCCAAGTCGGGGATGCAGAAGCCACTCCATCCCATCCGTGCTAATTCTTACTAATCCTTTCTACTATGAAGAACCCTATACAACTGCCAATCTATGATCCCTCTTGCCTCACAACAAGTACAGTATTGTACTGTTCAACTTAAAGGTTTAGAAGAAACAGGTGGGGAAGAGACAGTTCCAAGCCTGTCCATGGTTGACACAACACATCTCTTGACAAGCTAAGATTGAATTGCGGTGAACCTCTCAAGATGGCTTATAAAAGGCCAGACAAGACTAGCCCCTATCTAGGCTGTGTTGACCTCTAAGTAGACATAATGAGCTATGGCAAAAGCCAAGATTTTTGTTTGTTCTGTTTTGCTTTGTTTTTGTGTTGGTACTGGCGTTTGAACTCAGGGCCTGGGCACTGTTCCTGACCTTTTTCCTCAAGGTTGTCACTTTACCATTTGAGCCACAGCTCCGTTTCTGGCTTTTTGGTGGTTAATTGGAGATAAGATCCTCACAGATTTTCTTGTCCTGGCTGGCTTTGAATCATGATCTTCAGATCTCAGCCTCCTAAATAGCTAGGCTTACAGGCCTGAACCTCCACCACATGGCACAATTGTCAGTTTAAATAACATTATGAGCCATGGAAAATGAAAATTCATGTGGTTGGTGGGGAATTTCTCTTTAAGCCTTGGGCTTCCTGCACCTTGTTTGTGTGAAGTGCTGTTTCCAGCAGGCTTTGAACTCCAGGCATCTCTGTTGGGAAGGTCTCCCTGGCTGTTGCTGGAGGAAGGGACTGGAGGGAGGGAGTGTGTGCCCATGTGGAAGGCAGTGAGTGCCCAAGTTCAGAGTTCAGAGTTCAGACAAAGGAAGTGAGACAAATTGAAGACAAGTTGTCCATTGTGGTGCATGGAGCTACTGAATTGCCAGTTTCCTTAGCAAAAACATTAGCAAGGCATTCAAGCAATGAGGATGCAAGAAGTTAAGTGCTTTGCGGAATATTTAGCAGGCTCTGTGAAAACAGACCAGAGCTGTAGCCTGTCCCCTGTTGTGTGCAAGGTAGTCACGTGAACATTTTGCTTTAGGTCTTCCTAGGTGGTCGAGCATCACCCATCCCAGTCAGCCAGCCTTGGCTTACAGCTATGTGACTCTCTCAGACTGAGGCCAATGTATGGCGTTGCCACGGTGTTCGCCCCTGTGCAACAGAGAAAGCCATCAATGTCAGCCTACTTACTGGCTTCACACACTGAGGGGAATGAGAGCAGGCTAGCGCCCCCTTTAGCCATGTGGCAGTACTACTCAATCAGACACTAAGCCTCTTAGAAATCTGGGAAGATCTCCAGTGGAAAAACTTACATCATAAGCCTGGTCATGAAGCCCTTCATTCTGGCTAAGATCCTATCATACTTTGCAATGAATCCTCTCCCTCATGTCCCACTGAGCTGTCATGGCATCAAGGAAGCTAGGATTGCATTATTGCCTAAGTCCCCTTCAGAAAAGCCTTTTTGTTGTTTTATTCTTTGCTGTTCCAGTTGTTTGTTTCCATACTTACAACACATACACACAGGCACATATGCCTATATTTGCTTGCACACTGGCATGTGCACTCTCTCTCTCTCTCTCTCTCTCTCTCTCGCTCTCTCTCTCTCTCTCTCTCTCTCTCACACACACACACACACACACACACAGAGGTTCATTCAAATGACCCCTAAAATCTTGGTGGACCAAGCCATGTCTGCCAATTGGCAAGAATTGTTGTGAGAGGAGAGGAGAGTATACTATACACCTCTGTACATGCTACAGGATAAAGATTTTCCAATGTGTTATCTAAAGCTAGAAAGTAATAGCTTGCCTTAAAATGAATTTGCACATTCTTACTGCATTTCTTGCACAAATTTATGAAAGGTAATG